TAAAGCAGAAACTAACACACCATTGTAAAGCAATTATACTCCAATAAAGATGTAAAAAAAAAAAAAAGAATGTGGCTGTGAGAGGCGTCCCCGTGCAGGAGCAGAGGGGCGGGCGCTTCTGAAGCGGACCTGGGTCATGGGGGGGAGTGAGGGCAGCACAGCTGGGCGCAGGGACAGCCGAGTGAGTGGCTGGCAGGACCCGGCTCTCACACTGACCAGGTGAGCCCGGCCAAGCACAGACCTGACCCAGGTGTTCAGTCCGTGCTCTCAGCCAGCCCCATGCACCCTGGCCAGGAGCTGTTCCAGGCCCGGGACACTCGGATTCTCTCAGGAGCCTAGGACTCAGAAAGGAAGTGGGCAGAGCACGGAGCCAAGAAGGAGGGCAGTGTCGCCTGCTGGGACCAGGGACGTGGGACAGAGCGACGTGGTCTGGGAGATGGGGGAGCTCCAGAGGAGGCGGGGCTCCTGGGCTGGGGAGCAAGTTCCCCAGCGTTGAAGCGGCGGGCACATTCCAGGGCCCGAAAGCAAAGCGAGCTGGCCACTGGGGTCCCGGGAGCGGACTGGGTGAGCAGCGTGGACCCTTCCAGAAGCAGATCAACACGGCGGGTGGAGGCGCGCTGAGGGTGGCCCTGGGAGGGGCTCAGGGAGGAGGGGCCTCCAGAAGCACCGGGCAGGGGGGCCTGTGTCCCGGAGGACCTGTGGCTTTAGGACTTCATAATGAACAGGGCTCTGGCTTGCGTTGGGACGGCTGAAAGAACTGTGACGCCAGCGCCGTCCTGCCCTCAGGAGACCCGAGGTGGGCCAGGTGCTTGTCCTGGGGGACGCAGGCTCTGGAGTGTGCGGGGCTCAGGCACCGTAGCAGGAGGCCACACCTGGTGCTCCCGAGCTGGCAGCAGGGGGCGCCCCGAGACCTCCTAATGGGAGCAACTGCGGCCCTGGCCCGGGAGGACCGGAACCAGGCCGCCCCTGGGGCAGGTGGAGCCGCAGAGGTGAAGGGTCCCCAGGTCGGCCGCCCCGGCCCCGCCTGCCCGCACAGCTGGCAGAGCTCCGCAGCCCGGCCCCTCTCTCTGCCTGGGTAGCAAAGAGGGAGACGGGCAGCTTCTGTCCACTTCGTCCCTCAAGACCCGTATATTGCAACCAGAGCTGCTTCTCACCGCAGGCAGGTGGGGCCTTCGGAGGCTCCGAGGCGTCCACAAGGAGGGTGCTGGGCAGGGCAGGGCAGGGGCAGGGGCAGTCAGCCAGGCTTCAGAGATTTCACCACCACCAGCCTGGGTCCCACCCCTGAACCATTATATTAGCATCCTGCCTCAGGAGCCTGGGGGCTGGAAGTCCTGACTATTTAAAAGCTCTGCAGGTGGTCCCCATGTGCAGCCAGGGTTAAGAACTTCTCTGGACAGCGGCTCTCAAAGCCTGGCCCTGGATCTGCTGAGCGCACCCCTGGTAATGTGATAGAAAGGCAGAGTCCTGGGCCCACCCCTGAGCTCTTGAATCAGAACTCTGAGAGGTAGGGGCCCAGGGATCTGCATTCTGCCATGTCCCCTAGGTGATTCTGACACTGCCCAGGTGGAGAACCTGCTTGTGCGTGCCTCCCTACCCTAAATGTGCTCTGGGACCAGCAGCACAGACATCTCCTGGGAGCCTTGAGGGGCGCAGGGTCCCAGGCTCTACCTCCAGCCTGCTGAATCGGAACTGCATTTTAGCAGGATCCCTGGGCGATCTGTACATAGTGTGAGAACCACTGCTTTGGGGTCCCACTGAAAAAGAAGAGCACACGGCTGGGTGTGCAGAGCCCAGCAAGGGTCGCTGGGGGAAGGCTACCTGGTGAGGGGGTGAAGGGGCCATCCTCCAGGGGGCAGAGGAGTGGGCCCCAGTTGGGGTTCTCCAGGTGGGACCCTTCAGGTGGAGCCCCTCCAGGTAGAGCCCTCCAGGTGGTGCCCAAGACGTTCTGTGTGCAGGTCAGCAAGGGAGAGGAGCTTGAAGAACTCAGGAGGCAAGAAAAGGTTGGGGGTGGACACACCTGGGGGTGGATATGGAAGACCCAGGAGGTTGACCCAGGCCAGCAGATCAGAAAGCTACGTAACAGGAAGCTTGGGGTGGTGGGTTTTCTTAAGATTTTTTTTCCCATTATAAAGGTAAACAAACTTATGGTTACCAAAGGCGAAAGGTGGGAGAGCGATAAATTAGGAGTTTGGGATTGACATATACACATTCCTATATATAAAATAGATAATCAACAAGGATCTACTGTACCGCACAGGGAGGAACTCTACTCAATACTCTGTAATAACCTATATGGGAAAAGAATCTGAAAAAGAATGGAAATATGTGTATGTATAACTGAATCACTGTGCTGTACACCTGAAACTAACACAACATTGTAAATCAACTCTACCCCAATATAAAATAAAAATTAAGTTAAAAAAATAAAAGTAATGAATTAAGGAAAACATGAATACCCAGAAAGAAAGAAACACATATATACAGATAGCTCCCAACACCATCACTGCCCATAGCTCCCAACACCATCACTGCTCATAGCTCCCAACACCATCACTGCTCATTACTTGTGGACTTTTTCTATGCATAGTGTTTTATAGTGAAGTAATCAGTTATAAAATAAGTACTTGTAATTTTATTTCGTTTTCCCCAACATCACAGGGATGTTCGCACATCGTCTTCAGACATGGAACCGTTAGTGATGGACAACGTGGTGATGACGGTAGCAAGACCGGCTGGTCCCCGCTCCCCGCCGCGCCCCGGCCAGCTGCACACTTCCCCCGCAGAGCACCGGCAGTCCCAGGCTCACCGCAACGCCGGGCCCGAAACGCAGAGACGCAAGACCCCGCGGAGGCTGGCTCCCACCCGCCCTTCCAGACTTCACATCCTCAGCTCTCCATACTGCATAAGGCCTGTTCCTACCTAAACCCCGTGTCCCCTTACGCTCCGAGTGGCCCTGTTGGGTGGAGTACTGGAGCCGGGAGAGGGGCCCAGGGGGTTACAGGGCTCAGGAGGGGCTCGGGAGCTGCCTCTCTGGCCTCTGACATCAGTGGCGTCATTCGCAGTGGGCAAGGGCCTCCGTCGTCCACGGCGCCAAGTGCAAGATCGAGTCCCGAAGCCAAGTGCCTACAGGAGGCACAGCTGTGGGTGACCGGGCAGCTGCTGTCACAGCCCCTTAGTGGGAATAAGGAGTAAAGACTGTTGCGTTGGCTGGTAGCTTCTAAGTGTGCTGGAGAATTTGGGAAAAGGAAATGAGGAGCTCAGAGCTTAAGATTCCCAGCCAGGGGCAGACAGAGAAGCAGAAAGCGTCTGTGCTGTGCAGAAAAGCCCCTCAGACAGCCTGCCCGCGAGGCTGGCCCTGGGCTGGGTGCGCCGGGAGGGTCCCCAGCCCCCTCGTGGAGCAGACGGCCTCACGGCCCCTAGACGTTTGTGCCAGGTGAGGCTCTTGCGGAGTGCCACTTCCTTCTGGGAGTCTGGAACCTTCACCAGGCACAGGTGCCCGCGACCACTCCCAGGAAAAGCCCCAGGCGCTGTGTCTCTGACGGGCTCCCCGGGGAGACAGCATGTCACAGGTCATCACGGCTGGTGGCAGAGAGCTAAGTGTGTCGTGTGCTCACGCCTGGTCCCCGACTTGTCCCCACCAGCCTCTTCCTTTTACTGATGCTGCTTTGTATCCTTTCTCTGTCCTGAATCCAGCTGTGAGCACAGCCTCTGCTGAATCCTGGGGGCCTCCTAGCGAACCTGGGAGGGGTTTTGGGGACCCCGACACAGTTACCAAGTGCCCACCTGAGGACCCCAGCTCAGCTTCCCTAAAAGAATTTCTCTCGTGGAGGCACAGGGTCCGACTTCTGAAAACAAAACCCAAAGTTCAGCCTGGTGTGTGGCCGCATCACAGGCAGGTTGAACAGAGGACTCTCGGGTCCCATCTCTGAAAGTCTGGGCATTCTGGGGGGAAGCATAGCCCCTCCTCACTTGGGTGGGGACGTGTGAGCAGATTCTGGTGGAGCCGGGGACTCGAACCCCTGAATTCTGCTGGGGCTTCTTTGCCAGAAGACATCCTTCCTGCGCATCTGGGGGCTATAGTCCCCTCATACCTGAGTAACCTCTAACGGTCACCTGCTAAGTAGCTGTCTTGCGTGGCGACAGACTTAATCACTGCTTATAAGCCAGAGGCGCCAGTCTGGAGGTGGGACATCAGGCTGGACACCCCGCTTCCTGCCTGTCACTGGGCTCAACGGTGACCTGTCGGCGGGGGCAGCTGACCCAGGGCTGCTGTTGGCTCCCCGAGGGTCCCGTCCTGCCTGCCTGTCCCCGGGGCAGCTCTGTGATTACCCTGCTCCCACAAGGGGGGCATCGCAGCCCCAATGTCAGACTTCGAATGTCTTTCTCTCCTGGTAGAAAGGAAATTGGGTTTATTTTGAGTACCAATGTTGAATTCAGTCCTAAAACCTTAGGCCTGTGCAAAAATATTTTTCTCCCAATTTGATCTTTGGATCAGATTCCCAAAAGTGGACTCCTGGGAGTTGGCCGCCAGCAGGGTCACAGAAGCCCTCAGTCCTCTGGGCGGGGATGGAATATTCAGTTTGAAAGTTCACGGAGGTGACGTCTGCCCCTGTCCCCGGCCTTTTATAAAGGGGAGCCTGTGCGCTGGCAGCAGACGCCCGTCAGGCTACACGGCTGGGGGACAGCAGCTGCGAGGTAACCTCTGGGGAGGGCATATGCGGGGTTGGGGGAGGATTCCTTAAATAGTTAAATTAAATAAGGCCAACTGATTCTGCCTGGGGGTTAGCCTCAGAGGAAAGGCTTGAAGCCACTGAAATCGAAATTGTCAGGAAAACACTGGCAACTTCTCTTTTCACCAGAGCTGTTTTCCCAGGAGTGGCCCACCTGTGGGTGGCGGGAGCAGTGGCGGTCCGAGGGGTGGGTGGTCTCACCTGTCCGGGTTCCTCTTGCTGCAGGTGGACCTGAGCACCATTGGTCGGTGGGGGACAGGCCTGGGGAACATGAAGACCTGCCTGGTGCCCGGGCTGGCCCTCTGCCTCCTGCTGGGACCTCTGGCAGGTGAGGGGCTGCCTGTCCTCCTGTGCTGTCCTGTCTAGGCACTGGAGTACCGGTGGGTGGTGAGGTCCTTCCTGGGGGGCCTCTGGGGTGACTTCTCTCCCTTCCCTCGCAGGGGCCAAGCCGGTGCAGGAGGAAGGAGGTACCGTATTGCTTTCCCGGTTCTGGTCTCACGTGTCTGGGGGGCGGTGGGGGAAGAAGAGTGGCCGGGTGGGAGCTGGCCTCCGGTCCAGAGCAGGGGAAGTGGGAGCCCCGGCTCAGGTGTAGGCTGAGCCGCACTGGCAGAGGGACTGCAGCCTCTTCCCTGGGCCCTCTCCTCCAGCCACTGGGGACACACTGGGCAGGAGAGACCCTCTGAGCCCCCGAGCACCCCAGCATTCTCATCTCAGGCCCCTAGTCCCACCTTGGTGCAGAGCATCCGGACTCCAAGGCTGGGGGCTGTGGTGTCGTCCGAATCCCACCCGCATGCCCTGCATCCCGCTCAGTGTCTGCAGGATGGGCCAGACTTCGCCCTTCTCCCCTCCTCTGTCCCCCGGGCCAGGAGTCCTGAGGGGCAGGGCTGGTGTTACCCGCAGCTGCTCCTCAGATGGCCAGGCTCAGTGCCTCCGCGCAGGTGCGGGTGGGTCAGCCCCTGAGCAACTGTTGTCCTCCCTCCAGACCCCTACGCGGAGCTGCCGGCCATGCCCTACTGGCCCTTCTCCACGTCCGACTTCTGGAACTATGTGCAACACTTCCAGGCCATGGGGGCCTACCCCCAGCTGGAGGACATGGCCCGCACCTTCTTTGCCCACTTCCCGCTGGGGACCACCCTGGGCTTCCACGTCCCCTACAGGGAGGAGTGAGCATCCGGGGCAGGGGGGCCCCCAGCCCGTGGGAGTCGGGCCGGCCTCGTACTGAATAAACTCCTGGCTTGAATGCACGACGCACGTGGTGGTCTTCTTGGTTTTCTTAGGAGAAGCATCTCCACTCTGCTCCACTTACTCTCTCATTTGACAAATCAGCCCGGCCCCTCTTGCCCATCAGGGAACACTTCTTAGAAAGGCCTGTGCATGGTGTCTGTCCACAGAGTACCAACTGCGATGCCCCCTGTCCTCACTGACCCTAGGAGGATCCTCGGAGTGTAGGGGGGGAAACTGAGGCAAGCAGACACCAGGTAACTGCCTGGCTTGTTGACAGGACCCAGGTCCCATCCAGGCAGCTGCGCCCCAGGAACCCCCCCCACCCTTGGCCACTGAGCTGGACAACAGGCAGACCCACAGCGGCCTCCCTGGGCTGGACGCCCTGCCGGGGCTCCAGCCCTCGCGCTCAACTCACACCAGGGCAGCCGGTCTGTGGGCATCGCCGAGTGCCTGGGCGCTGGGTCTGCAGGCAGAAGGGCCCCCAAAACATGACCACCAGCAGTGCAGACTCGGGGACTTGGGGGGAGTGGGGCTGCCTGCCCTGGCAGAGCCAGGACGCACGAGCTTCGGGCCCCGCCCCATCAGGGGGCGAAGAAATCGGTTTAATGGGCTGCAAGCTGCTTGTCTTTAAGATAAAATAATAGAAAATACTCCCTATTTAACTTTAGACACTGGTATTTGTACTAGCATCTAACATAGAAGCCACTACACACAGTAAGAAGTTTGTAAGGTTTTGTGAAACTCGGGTGCTGTGTGTTCTGCTCGTTGGAAATGTGTGATGGGATGAACTCCATCCCGTGTGCGGCCTCCAGGGTCTGCAGGCTGTCCTTTAGGGTGAGTGAGAGGAGGGGTTATTCTGAGAGTTCTCTCCCGGGACCCTGGCATGGACACCCCGCTGTGCTGGGAGGGACCTGGGAGGGGGAGGGGAGGTGGCCGCGGCGCCCAGGCAGTGGCTGCCCACTGGCCCCAGCCGTCCAGCAAGGCTTCCTGCCCTCACTTCTGTCGCCACCTCCTGTGGCCAACGTGTAGCTTCCCTCCCTGTGTCCAGGCTTCAGTGTGAAAGAGGAAGAATCTGTTGGCCTAGCCTGTCGCTTTGGGAAAAACCAGTACATTCTTTGTTTCTTTTCCCCCTTGAGCTGGTCTGAGTTTGGTTTCTGTAAATTAACTGCACACACACACACACACACACACACACACACACACAAAGTCCCGACTCCCATGAGAGTCCACTTGTAGCAGCTGGGCCTTGACCAAACGTACCAGACGAAAGGCACCCTCACCCCCTGGACATGGTGCTGACCTGTGTGTTAATTCATGTGCGTGCGTGTGTGTTTGCGTGTGTGTGGTCATTTACATGCCACTCGGATTTTCATGCACCCAGTTACGTCAAGCATTGGAGAATGACGGCTCCAGATGCCCCTCCAAAGTGCTCGAAGGGCCTCCCGTGCGCCTCCCGGGGAAGCCCCTGGGGTGCCCTGGCCAGAGCTGTGTCCCCTCTTGGACACACCCATGACCACCCAAGACACATAGCTGCATTATTGCGTGTCTTCAAAGTCCCAGCTGCCCTCCTTCTGCTCTCAGAAGGAGAAAACCCCACCCTCAAGCAACCCTCAGCAGACGCCCTGCCCACCTGCCCTGTGGCCCCGGGGGCACCTGGCTCCCCATTCAGGACCCTCTCTGTTCACCTGAGCACACACAGCTCCATTTCCCTTCTGTGTACCCCTCTTGGTTTCCCTTCACAGTCAGACCTGGTGGCGGGGGACCCCTCCACTTCCTGCCCCACGTCCTCAGCTGGCTTCACCCCTCAATGCTTGCTACCAACAAGCACCACCGGCAGCCACTGTCTTCTCATCCCTGCCTCGCCGCTGATGGCCTGGGGACCACACGCCCGCTGTGCCCAGCAGTCAATGCCCCGTCGACTGAAAAAAACGCACAACCTAGAAGTTGAGAATTATGTTTTATTTGGCAGACATACTGAGGACTTAAGCTCAGGAGACAGCCTCTCAGATCTCACGGTCCTGAAGAGGGAAGGGAGGAGCCAGGATCTATAGTTTTTGCCAAAAAAGACTAGGTAGTTGGGACATCAAAAGATTCCTGCTAATTAAAGAAAACCAGACATCTCAAGTTAATGAATTTAGTGCTTTTCTTTGTACGGGAAGATGCAAGCGTCTGGGCTCACTGAAATTACTCCTTTGATATGCACCTGAACTCTCCTGCGGGCCAGGATCGGGCTCTCCTCCATCCTGAATCCCCTCAGGGTGCACAGTGGGAGCCGCTGCAGAGGCTGAGGGCCTGACGGCCTCAACATCCTTTGTTTACTGATATACCCGGCGACATTTTTGTTCACACCTGCTGTCCTGGAGCAGTCACCAATAGGGTCCCTTTCACTCTCAAAGGATGTGGTCTGGATGTGGTCACCCAGCGACAAGCCCAATCCCCTGGTGCTCTCCAGGTTCCCCAAGCCGACCCTGTCCTTCCACCCCTGTGACATCACTGCCCTGCTTCTGCTCTTCCATAAACATGTGTCCCCTGGGGCGGACTCTGTGCCCCGCTCTCCTGGAGACCTCACCTCTCCACAGGAATGGGGGTCCCTGTGCTTTGAAACTACTCAGAAGGGGAGTTGGCTGGTACCACGGACTCAGGCTTCACTGGTCTGACTTTCCCTCGGGCACTTGGGGTGACTTGTGTCATGGTGACATTGGAGGCTCAGCCACCCGGCCAGTCACTTTCCCTTCTCCCTTGGCCCTGCGCTGTCCACCCACGCCTGACCCGGGGCCACAATCCCTGCTCAATCTAGGCTCAATTCCCGTCTCCCTGGAAACACCCTCCCCCTTCCCCTCCCCCTCCCCCTCCCTGCCCCCACTTCTCTGGCAGCCCAGCCCCCAAGCCTACCTACTTCTAAAAGTCTAGCTCAGATAAATTATGCTCTCCTTCCCTACCATCCCTTCCCCTCTCCCTCCTGCCCTCACTTCTCTCTCATTCACATTCTTTTAAAAAACTTATGATAAAATACATACAACGGAACATTTACTATCTTAACTACTTTTGAGAGGCATTAAGTGCATTCACATTGTTATGCAACCATCATCACCGTCCATCTCCAGGCTATTTCTTCTCCTCATTAAGCACTAACTCCCGCTCCCCCTCCCCCAGCCCCATTCTACTTTCTGTCTCTATGAATTTGATTACTCTGCATACCTCATAGAAGCGGAATCATACGGTATTTGTCTTTTGGAGATTTCATTAAGCATAATGTCCTCAAGGTTCATCCACATTGGAGCAGCTGTTAGAATTTCCTTCCTTTTAAAGGCTGAATAATATTCCATTGTATGGATGGACCACATTTTGCTCAACCATTGAAATGTTGATGGATACCTACCGGAGTTCTTTCACATTTTAGCCATTGTGAAAAATGTTGCTGTGAACGTGGGTGTACAAATATCTCTTCGAGACCCTGCTGTCAATTCTTTCGGGTTTATGCCCAGGGTGGAATCCTGGACCATCGGTAAATCTATGTTTCACTTTTGAGGAACCTCCATACTGTTTTCTACAATAGCCGCACCATTTTACATTCCAACCAACAGCGCGCAAGGGTTCCAATTTCCCCACATCCTTGCTAACATTTGGTATTTTCTGGGGTTTTGACAGTAGCCATCCCGATGGATGTGGGGTGGTATCTCATTGTGGTTTGGTTTGTCTTTCTCTGATGATCAGTGATGTTGAACATCTTTTCATAGGTTTATTGGCCAGTTATAAATCTTCTTTGGATAAATGTCTATTCCAGTCCTTTGCTGATTTTTTAATCGGACTCCTTGTTTTCTGTTGTTGAATTTTAGGAGTCCTCTGTACATTCTGTATATTAATCCCTTGTCAGATACATGGTTTGCAAATATCTTCTCCCATTCTGTGGGTTGCCTTTTTACTCTGTTACCCACGCATACTCTTTAATGGGTATTTCCTGGGCACCTGGCAGTGTCAGTCCCTTCGGTCCAAACTGTCTGTGGCCGCGGTGAAGTCACGGCTTCCCTTGTGTGCCGGCAGCCACGCGGAGACCCCGCCCACCCTAGCCCCAACCAGGCCAGTCCTGCCCGCCCCGACTAATGGAGGAGGGGACCTTAGCGTGGAAGGTCCTCCGGCGGCTAGACCTGCCAGATGGGGGGGGGGGGGGGGGAACCATAGAGTCGGCCGTCCTCTCGAGTCTAGACTTGCCAAGGCGGGGCTTGCACCGGAAGAGGGAGTCAGCGGGCCGGAAGTGGGTCGGGGACGCCGGAGCTGCAGGCGGAGATGAAGCCGGCGGTGGACGAGATGTTTCCCGAGGGTGCGGGGCCCTACGTGGATCTGGACGAGGTAAGGCGGGCGGCGCCGGGCCGGGCGGGAGCGGAGCCAAGGCCAGCTGTCGGGCGCGGGCCGGGTCTGGGGCGAGAGAAGGCGGCGGTCTGCGCGGGCGTGCTCGCCGTCCCGGCGGTTCCTACCTCGGGCGAGAGAATGGGGCCTCCGGGAACCCAGTGAGGTGGCGGCCGGGATGGCTACGGGCCGGGGTTGCGGTGAGCGTCGGTGCCCGCGGCCTGGAGCCCCGCAGGAGCGATTGGTGGGGACCCCGGGGACGGGGTTGAGCTCGTGCCAGGTGCTGGGGAGGAGGTAGGCCCCGGCCGGGATGGCGTGCTGTGGCGCGGCGGGGGCGAGTCCCCGTCTGGGAGGAGGGGAGACGAGAGCTCGGCTGACCAACGGCCCTTGGAAAAGAAGCGGCCGCCAGCCCGCGGAGCGGGGGAGAGGGGCGCCTGGCAGGTCTGTGCTCCGCGCGGGGCAGTTGCGCAGGGTGGTTGTGTCACCCCATGCTCTGGGCACAGGGCGTTCCTGTCTGGTGTTGGTGGTGTGTGCTCGGAGTGTCAGGCCGGCTTCGCGGGGTCCGGACCTCGATTTCTCCTTGTCAAACCTCAGGGGGGACAGACCCATTCTGTGTGCTCCTGGGCGTCCCGGGAGCACAGAGAGACGCTGGGTGCCAATTCTTAGTGCATCAAAAGGCGGTGCGGGTTGCTAGAAGCCCTTGGGCTTTGGGGTGGCTCAGCAAAGGCTTAGGAGAGCAGCTGGCTGCAGCCAGATGCTGGCGGCGCGCTGGGGCGCAGGTAGGGGCGAGGCCTGGCGGGATCGGGAGCGAGGCCTGCAGGGTCTAGGGGAGGGCAGGTCGTGCCTGAGAGAGCGGGAATGGGATGGAGCCGGGCAGGTGGGGTTGGGGGGCAGATGGTGCATGGCCTGTAGCCGTCCTGGGACAGGTGGGCCCTCTGCACCGCAGTCCCGAGGCACCTGCACTCACCCCCTGCTTCTCAGCCCTGTGCTCCAGGCGCTACTTTAGTCAAGCGTGGAGTCGCTGGAGGGCTTTAAGGTGCGGAGTGACGGCTCTGACTGGTTCGTGGCGCCGTCGCTCTGGAGGGTTTGGGGTGAGAGAGTGGGGCAGTACAAACAGGGGGACAGGGGGCGCGAGGAGGGTCTGAATGAAGGCAGTGCCTCCAGAGGGAGGTAGGCGCAAACTCCGCAGCTGTGTCACAGGTAGAATGTGCACAGCTTCCTGTGGGGACGGGGCAGGAGGGCGCCTGAGGAAGGAAGGAAGGCTCTGAGAGTCCCCGCTGCTAAGGGAGGGCGGGAGGTGCTCTGCCCTTTGAGCCAGCAAGAGGCAGGGCAGACAGCCTGGGGGCGGTCGGGAGTCAGGGTGGCAGCGGGCCTGTGGGCCGGCCGTCCAGGGTGCTGCCACCAGAGGCCTCTGCTCTGGCTGTCACCATGTGACTCTAAAAGGCTCAGAATCCTCGCCACGTTGCCCAGCTTTGGTTGTGGCGTTGTTTCACTGCCACCGTTGAGTGGTGGCAGTGGGAAGGCCCGTGATGGCCCCGCCCCCCTCCCCAGAACCCCAGGTCAGCAGGTCGGTTTCTCAGGGGAAATGGTTTAACGCTCAGAAGCAGTCCAGAGCAGAGCAGTGGTCGGGCTCAGTCTTGCGCGCACTCGGGGCCTCTTGTCCAGGTGTGGGCAGCAGTGCTGCTGTTTGGGGCAGCGGCAGGACTCTACGGAAAAGGCGAGAGGAGTCGAGGACGTCCGACCCGAGGGGACCCTCGCCGTAATTCCTTGGAATGCCGCCTCCCCAGCCCTGCCCGCGCTCCCTCCCTTCCCCTGGACTAAATGTTGTCTCCGACCTGGACACTTTCTGCCCAGGAGTGGTGTGGAGCCTGCGTGGCACTTACACCACTCGTTCTCTCGGAAAACCCCGCTGCCATGAGCTTTCCTTTCCCTCCCCAGGCAGGAGGCAGCACCGGGCTCCTGATGGACTTGGCGGCCAATGAAAAGGCAGTTCACGCAGACTTTTTTAATGGTAAGGACGCTGGGATTGGCTGGCCGGTTTTAATCTGTTTCTTCTGCAAGTTATGCAGTGGAGCAACTTCGTGACATGAGTGACTTGGATCGTAGACCAGTAAAGGCCAGATCCTGTGCCATTCTTGGAACGCCACGCAGCCCTGTTTTTCAGGAGGGAAAAAAGCTTCCAGTCTTATGTTCCAGTTGTTGAGTTTGAGCCATGAACGTGCACTTGGACACTGAAACTGTAGCAGGGTCTGGTCCATCTGGCTTTCTCGTCTCCCCTCTCTCGCGATGGCTGGTTTGCTTTCCTCTCCCTGTTCGCCACTGGGTTCCTGTCCCCTGGGCTCTGCCTGTGCAGAGTGGCAGCCACACTCCTGCTCTTCTCCGCCCCTTTTCTCTGACACCTGGAGCTACTCGCATGTAAGGGCTTAATGCTAGCTTCAGGAACATGGGTGGAGTTTTACCAAATAAACAGTGAGAAACTAACTTTATAGGAAGTCTTCATATACGTTTGAGGGGGTCCTTCTCGTGTCCTCTTCTGGTTTCTTAAGGCCTTGTTCCTATAGAGTATATTCATCCCTACCAAAGGTTAAATCATAAGAAACACAAGATCACTTTCTTAGGAGAGTAAAGTGGTATTTTATCTCTTATCGTCCGTCTGTCATCCAGGGTGCCTGCCACTACAGAGAACTTTCGTCACTAGTTAGTGGCGGTCAGGATGTTGCCTTGCCATGTTGGTTTTCAGGGGCCCCAAGCCTCTCTGGCGCCCGAGCCCGTGTTGCTTTTTCTGGCTGCTTTTCAGGTGTTGTTGCCTAACGAGAGAAGCCAGCCTGCTGCATGAGGGCAGCCTTCCCGGGGAGCCCAGCTGCTCTCCCCAGGCAGCGTCCCCGCAGTTCTGAGGGGGGTGACGTTTGTTAAGTTCTCCGGGGGAGCAGGTGTGGGGAGCACGGGGTGCAGAGCCGCCGCTAGGACCTCACCCGGGTAGGGGTGTGTGGTCCCCAGTATGGCACGATCCACTCACACTTTGAGGGTCTCCTTGCAAGCCCCCCTCCTCCTCTGCCAGCCCGGGGCTTAGAGACAGTTGGCTGATTTCCACCTACAGCCCTTTAATTCTGACAGAGCACCTGTGAGAAGGACCCAGGCCGCCAGGCCAGGTGAGCACGGGAGCAGACGAGGGCGCTTCTCCCTCCGAGTCCGAGTCCGGCAGGGAGGAGAAGGGGCGCAGGCGAGCAGACGCCGCCCGGCAGGTTGTGACGGCCCAGGTGTGCCGGAAGCCGTTCCCGCAAGGAAGCCGAGTGGCCTTTGGAAGGACTTGTCCGTAGTCCTTTTCACTCATGATTGAACAGATAGGTTTTGATGGCCGGTCGTCCCCTAGGCAGTGGAGTTCAAACCCCGAGCGAGGTTCGCTCTGCTCACTCACTTTTACAGAATGGGAGCGCTAGACGGGGTGGGCCGGGACGGCTCGGGGCGAGAGCCCAGACAGGTGGGCGCAGGGGGAGAGTGGCGGAGCTGCGGGACCACAGGCCAGGCCAGGCGGTGGCAGAGGCAGGCACCGGTGGGGCCGTCCGGGGGGCGGGGGGGGGGGGGGCAGGAGGTGCCTGGGTGCCTTTCCCCGGGGAGCAGGGGTGTGGGGACCAACCCGTCCTCCTGAGGACTCTTCGTTTACTCTGCACATTCTCAGTGCACGGTACACGTGAGTGGCTTTTTCTCTTCTTGTGAAAGTAACACATAACCCGTGGTGGGGATGTAGAAAATATACAAAGAAGTAAACAGAAGGACAAATAACCATGAGTTTGGCTTTGACCCCCTCGCAGGATGCAGTGCGCTGTGAATTTCTGGCGTTTCTTCTAGTGGGAATGGGGATCAGGCTGTGTTTCTCAAGCTTAACTATAGGTCAGACTCTCTTAAAGGGAGTCGTTCTCACAGGGCTCTGTCCCTCCACCGCCTTTCTCCCCCCAGCTCTACAGTTTCCTGCTCACGGCTGGGAGCCGCAGGCAGCTTCAGCCCGCCTCCCCTGCCCTCCACGCAGCGTTGGGGAGAGCAGAGCCCTGGCCGTACTCACAGGCATGCAGTCACGGCTGTGAGGGGTTGCCCACGTGGTCCAGAACACGCCCTCGTGCATTTTCTTAAGATTGTCATCTAAATAGAAACAAGAGTAAAGGTGCACTCTGGACTACTGTCCCTTTGGACTGTATGAGCCCCGGTTGGATAAAATTTATAAAATTGAGAACCTGTCCTGGGAAAAGTTCTTTATCAGATTGTTCACTGTTTTCTCTCTAGTTTTGAATGACCATATACCTCATTTTATAGTTATTTCCTCAGCTGTAGACCTCGTGTGCCCCATCAATGTGTGATTTTGTTCATTTTGTAGATTTTGAAGATCTCTTTGATGACGATGATATCCAGTGAGGTGTGTCCGGCGGTGCGTTTGCTCAGGCTTTGCCATGCCTTGGTGTGGTGGATCGCCTCAAAGGACAGTTTTAGATGGTTCTGGAGAACTTGTGGAAATCACTTGAAATTCGGAGATGGTTAACGAAGAAGGAAGAGATAGTTTTAACCATCTGGATGAAGCCTGTTAATCTCTGAATGTGACCGCCTTTTGTCCTTAACTTCAATTAAAAAAGTGATGTTATTACTTGCAGGGTGATTTTAATGCTTGCATTTTTGAGTGAATATTACAATCCCTAGACGTCTCCGTGTGCATACGTGTACATGCATGCCTGTGTTCCATGCTAAGAGAAACAGGTCTCAGCATAGAAATACATGGTGCACTTTTTGTTTTTGCGGTACGTGGGCCTCTCACTGCCGTGGCCTCTCCCATCGCGGAGCACAGGCTCCGGACGCGCAGGCCCAACGGCCGCGGCCCACGGGCCCAGCCGCTCCGCGACACGTGGGATCTTCCCGGACTGGGGCATGAACCCGTGTCCCCTGCATCGGCAGGCGGACTCTCAACCGCTGCGCCACCAGGGAAGCCCCACATGGTGCACTTTTTGCTCTGTGGCCTTGAGTAATTCTGACAGCTCACGGTTGCTAACGTGGTGTTTGTGTTAGACCCGTAAGCGGTGCAGGCCGGCTCCTGGAAGTGCCTGTGAGACCTTACTCGGGTCCCACCCCTCCCCTGGAGGCACATGTAGCTGCGTGTTTCCCCTCCTAACGTCAGAGCAGCTGCTGTCCCCACATCTGAGGCTGGAAGAAGCAGGGCAACTCGATAATGACTCTGGAAGAGACGCCTCCTACCTGAGAAATGCGTGCGTTGGTCCATCTCAAAGGAGAGCGCAGCACCTACGGGGGAAGTTTCTTGCTGGTCCAGCTCAGCAATTGATAATGGTTGTAAACACTAAGATTACTATTTCATATCAGTCTCGAAGTGAAGAATGTTCCTTTGATAAGGAAGGGCCCAGGGCACATGGCTTCATCGGTCCCCACAGCTCAGAGTCGAGCAGAGCCACTTAGATGAGTTGGGATGTGCTGACCTTCCCCGTGAGAACTGCCGAACGGAGCACCTCGATGGCCTGGTTATGAAAGACATTTCACCGAAGACCAGGTGAGATTTTAAACAGAACGAGACGTTCCCTCTGCCTGTTTTCTCATGAGTGCCGAGTGGGCTTCTGCCACTTAGCAGGCCCGTCCTGATGGAGCTCGGCCCCCGGGAGGGAGGGCCAGTCATCTAGCACGGCTCAAGGGGCTGACACGAGGGCAGCGACCCTGGGAAGACCAGCTTGGGAGAAACTGGGAACACCCTTCATTTGAAGCCCCGCCCTGTGTCGGGATTCGGGGCTATATCTGTGTCAGACTCACAGCCCAGATCTGCAGCCAGAGTGACAGGGCCTCCAGGCGAGCTGCACGGTCTGACCTCAGGGAGAGACATCTGCTTGTCCTTGAGGTCAAGTCACAGGCAGCTACGTTTCCTCAGCGGGCTCCTCAGAGCAGGCCTGGAAGGCTCTGTGGGGAGCACCTGGGCATTTGGGTGAGTCCTTAGCCAGCAGGTGGTTGCCCTGCAGCCGGCTCAGTTGAGGCCCTTCGGGGCTTGCACTTCACCGTGTTACGGGCGTGGTGACAGCTCAGGCCGGTGGCGCCCCGAGTTGTCCCTGCGTCGAGCATGTCACCGAGGAGCAGTGGTCGTGCCCCATCAGCTCCCCTGCCTCAGGCCTCTGTTCCTCGTTGGTAGACACAGCCCTTGGTCCCCGCGGCGCCTTCTGGTTCAGGGTCTGTGGTCTTCAGCAGGGAGGAAGCAGCCCAGGCAAAGGAAGGGCTGCCGCGGGCCCGGGTGAGGAGCTGGCCTGTCCCTGCCAGGCCGCGGCTGTAGGACCCCAGCGGGCTCCGTGTTGGCCTCAGAGTTTCAGACCAGTCTGGTGCTCAGTGAACGTCAGCTGTGTGTGTGTGTGTGCGCGCGCGCGGGTCTTTTGCACTCTCAGGCCTCTGCTTACGCGCTAGGCTCTAGGCCTCCTTTGCTTTCACAGAACCCTCGCAGCTTCCTCAGTACCGTGAGGCCGCGGTTCAGAGTCCCTTCCTTTCTTCCTCCTCTCGCTGTGGCTTGGCCGGCACCTTGGGGAGCGGTGGCTTCCTCAGGACATGCTCATGCCTTTGACGAGGAAACTCTAGCCGTTGTCCGTAGTGTGTTTTCGCTCACAGTGACAAAGCACGTGTTTTTCACTTTCTGTTCCTAACTGCCAGGGTCACAGGGATCGGCCTGCGTGCCGGGCTGGAAAGCCCACGGCAGAGGGAAGCTGTACTACCTTCCCCCGTGAGCTCGGCTGCCAGCCGGCTGCAGAACAGAGGACGGCAAAGCACGACCCTGGCCGGAGTGCCTGCGGCCACCGGGAGAAGAATGGGCGGAAGGCGAGGGAGACTCCTGGGGGCTGGAGAAGAGACAGGAGGGAAGCACCCTGCATTGGAGTCCTTGGAAGCGAAAGAAGAATTTGTCGGAAAGCTGTGGAAGGCAGGCGAGCAGAGGGCCCCGGGGCTCAGGCCACCTGCGGGCGCACCCGCCTGTTGGCTCCTCGGCCCAGGAGGTCTTCATCCACACGGGAGGTGTGGTTCCCACGGTGCCCTGCTGTTCCGCTGCCAGCGCCACCCCGTTGGGGGTTGAGGGTCCGCAGCAAGCGCTCGGGAAGGCCTCTGATTGGCGCACCCTCTGTGCGTCCCACTCCCTGGCCCGTCGGCAGTGTCCACGCTTCTCGCTGTGAGCCAGGAGGGCAGCGCCCACTCACAGCTCGCAGGATTGGGAAGGCCCTTTCCTCCGGGGGAGGGTGCACATGGGGACCGCCGCTCGGTAGCTGGGGTGGGGACCTGGAGAGTATCACCTGCTAAGGTGGGGTGTTGTGGATCCTTGGGAAGCTGCGGGCTCTTGGAAGGTAGGATTCCATGAAGGGAGCCCTTCCTAAGCCATGTGATCAAGCACGTGGCTTTTACACGCTTTGGTTTTTGAGAATCTGGGTTTGGGGAGGTAACCGGAGAATAGAACTGTTTTGATGCTTTGAGCTGTTGGAGGACTTCAGTCATGGCCTGTGAAGAAACCATCTACTTCCCCTGCCCTTAGAGTTCTCCTTCTTCCCGGGTGGAGGGAAAGCGTTCGTCTCACGGTCAGCCTTTGCACTGGCCGCTTGTTGGGTAGAAAGATGCTCGGGAAGCCGCCGGGGAGAGGCGACGGCCTCTGCGTTCTTGGGTGAGCACTGAGCAGCGGGTTAGGGGCGCTTCCAAACAAGTCACATGTTTAAGAAGCCACGTTATTGACTTTAGAAAATTTACTGCTGTGAATTCTGCTTGGAGCCAAGATGAGAAAGTGCTGAGAAAAGGGCGCTAAAATGAAAAGCTCCTTTGTCCCTCAGGAGGCCAGAGGTGGGCCTTCGGGCGCTGGGCCTTTCCACTGGCTCTCGGAGCCTGGGTCTCAAGAGTTCGGGCCTCAGCAGGGGGCAGAGGGCGAGGCCCCCAGTGCCCCGCACAGCTCTGCCCGCGCTCCTCCCCGACAAGGCTCACGGGACGAGCGGCTTCTCCACGAGCGTCCTGAGGCCTCCATGTCACTCGTCCACCCCCAGCATCAAGCCGGGGTCAGTACTGAATGGTCACGGCCGCGCTGAGGGGTCTTTTAGGTGCCTGTGTTGTGTGTGAATAATTATTATCTGATAAGTCACAAAATAAACTGCTCATGAGTGGCTTTAATGGCTGTCGTCACGAGGGAGTGTGATTCTGTGGAAACAGCAAGGGCTCTGCAGTCAGAGAGGTTGTCCAGGGGAGGGGACAGTGGAGTGATGTCCAGGACAGTCAGCTGACCTGCAGGGTGACTGCGCTAGAAGACAGCTGGTCCCTTTGTCCCTGCAGCTGAGCAGAGTGTCCCCCACGTGGCAGGTGCTCGGTGCATGTCTGATCCATGTAAACAGACAGCAGTGTAATAACCGATTCCTGGTGCTGCTGGGAGGGGAGAAGCCTGACCCAGAGGGGTGCAGAGCACCTGCCCGGAGCTCCACGCCGTGCCTCGTGCACCGAACTCCAGGCCCCAGGAACCGCCCACGCGTGACTCACAGGGAGAGCCTGGGACTCAAGTGCTGCCATGTGTTCTCAGGTCACACCTGGCCAGAGAGAGGTGCCGTGTGAGACCCTCAATTCAGAGGCCCTGGAGGTGGGACAGGCCAGACCTCACCGGGGTCAAACACGCCCTGCCAAACAAGACCGCCCCCTCCTTTGCCCCCAGAAATGTCCTGGCCTCAGCTCTGATTGAGCCGGGGATGCGGAGAGGGAGGGGGGAGAAGAAGAGCTCTCAAGACGAAGCTGTGGTGAACAGCGTCCCTGGAGCTCGACTCCCCCTGGATGGTCTTGGGACACCCGCAGCCTCTGAGCCTGTGAAGTGAGGGTACCGTGAACACCTTTCCCGTGCGGGTACGAGAGGGGTCACTGAGTGAATTCGAGTTGCACCTGGAACAGCGCCCTGTGTGTGGTGGAGCAGGTGCCTTGAACGTGAGCTGCAGTGTTGTTTTCACCTTCGTGAGTCACAGGAACGCCTTGTGCTCTGTGCTTGGGTTTTTTCCTTCCCTAAGTCCCTATCCTTGAACAAACACTGTCTTCTCATGGCGCGAGTGATTTGCCCCAGGTGACTCAGCATTTGGGAGGCAGAGAGGTGCCGGACTGTGGCCCTTCGTCAAGGGCTGCGTTCTCTCTCCGCAGAGACCACGAACAAAGCCAGGAGACAACCAGTAGATTTGGAAGGAATACAGGAAACCTGGCTCCCACACAAAGGGCTGAAGTGATCACATTTGCAGACGTAGAGAACTTTTACAAAGTGGCACGAAGGAGGTGACGCATTGGAAAATGATGGGCACAGGTTACTGAAAAGTCAGTTTGCAGAAGAACAAGTTCAAAGGGCCAGTAAGTACTTCAAGGTGCTCAGAATCACAAGAAGTTGGTAAACGTCCATTAAGGCGGCAAGGCACCGCTTTACTCACTGGAGGGCAAGGGCTTTGAGTGATGGAAGGCTGCCCACGCTGATGCAGGGTGGGGGGGACCATGGGACGTGGCCATGATGAAGACTGGAGACCCGGCGGAACCAGGACAGGAGGTTGGTCCCAGCATTTTCCCTCCTGGCAACAGACCATGGAAAGAGTGAACGGTCGTCGCTTGAAGAAGCATTGGTGCATGCACACCACGGGGAGCCCTGCACCCCTAGACCGAGTGGCCTTTGACCTGGAGGGGGTTCCATAGGGCCCTGTGGGTGGGGAAGTTGAGATGCAGGAGGTGGGCTGTTACCGGGCACATTTATACCTGTTCATCTGATGTATAGAACTTGCCTCTCGGGTGTGTAAAGAGGTACGTTTTGGGGGTGAGTGTGTGTGTGTGCACATACACCTCCTCCTGTACACCCACCGTAGCCCACGGGTTATGATGATACTTGTGTGTATATATATGATCAGATGTGTGTGTGTGAAAGTTTCACAAAAGGTGGAGCTCACAGCCCTGTGGGAAAGGACAACAAGCAAAGAGCCTGTGAAAACACTGTAAAGGTGTGAGGGCAGGTGTGAGGGCAGGTGTGAGGGCAGGTGTGTGGGCAGGTGTGAGAGCAGGCAGCCAGGGGCCATCCCCGCTCCTTGAGGTAAATGGGAGAGGGAACCCCAGGAGAGGGAGGGAGAGAGCGGCCCAGGTGTGTGCAGGGCCCAGAGGCGGGCAGGTGGGCCGACAGCAGGGTGGCGAGGGGGCCCCCCCGAGCAGTGAGGGGTGCTGGGGCGGAGGACAGCGCTCACACGGCTCTTCCCGTCTCCTGCGTCCGCCCCAAGCTGGGGTCCCGCTCCGTTTCCTCTGGTCCTTGGTTTGCAGCCGAAGCAGAGAAGGGAGGCCTGGCCTTCGAGGTCAGGGACGTTAGCGCTAAAGGAGGGACGGATTTCATGGCTGAATTCCTGAGTTTGGAGAGACTGTCGGGGCCTGGCTGAGCCCTGCAGGCCGGGTGGGCCTTGCCTGGAGGAAGGCGCACTGGGCCGTCTTCAGCGGGAGCCTGCCCCGCTCCGCAGCGTTTTCTGCTCCCCTGAGGACTGGCCCATGTCCTGGCAGCACAGAGACAACTCTGTACCGCTGAAGGGCACTTGGGGTCGGCAGATGGAGGCTTCCTGTCGAAAGGGGCCCGTGTGGGGACCCAGATGATCGCTCCAGCCGGCAGTCCGTGGCCGCTGCTGCTGCTTTCGTTTGTGTTTTATTTTTTTCCTTTGACTTTCAACTTGAACATTTATTTTGCTGAGACTTAATTTATCCTGTCACTTGTAAGGCTCAGTTCTGTCCCCAACTGTGCCCAGCGCAGTTAAATAAATGTTGAAGGAACCTGCTGGAACCTTTGCTGCTGAGACAGGGAAACCGCCAAGCCTGCTGTGAGAAGAGCATCTGGACAGTTCGCTGTAGTTTTCCTTTACTTAGCATCTTGCTGACGATCCTAAGAACGCCCCAAAGGTGCCTTTCATTGAGAGCCAACTTCGGGCGCAGCATTTATGTTCCATCCAGTCCTCAGAATGTTCCAGAGGGGAGGGTCGTGTGCTCCGTTTGCACGTGGATAAGCTGAGGCTCTTGGAGGTGACGAGACCTGCCTGGACTGGCCCTCCGAGGGGACAGAGCGGGCTTCACCCTGGAGCAGCGCAGTGGAGCGCCCTGCTTCGGACACTCAGGCCCGGGTCGTGGTTCTGTCTCTAAATTCGTTAACTTCCTTACCTCTGCATTTCCCATCTGCACAAGTGGAGGTCATAGAAACACCCAGCTCAAGAAAAAGTGAAGAATTTCTGCTCAGCAAAGATGCCATTGAGGAATGGTCGAACTGCAGCTGTGGCAGTGTTGCAGTATACGTAGCTCACAAAGGACTCATTCACAATATATAAAGAGCTCCTGCAAACCAACAGTAAAACTCGGGCAGCCTAATGCAAACGTGGGCAAAAGACAGGAATGAAAAATGGATACGTGGAAACATGCAAATGGCCACTGAGCATCTGAGAAGATGCTCGACAGTCGGGGAAATGACAGAGCAACGTCCTTTCACATTGACTTGAAGGGCCAAAATCCAGAGTAAAAACAACACATTAATCGATAAAGTCCCCCCACCCCTCCCTAGTAACTTCACTTCAGTGTGAGCCGTGACCTACGCGTATTACTGGTTAACAGTCCCAGAGTGTAGTCAAAGCAACGTGGCTTTGGAGAGCGTACCGTGAGCGAGGGTTGTGGCTCGCTCTTCTTTAGTGTGGGTGAGGCTCCCTGCTCAGAGCTTTACCTCATTTTATCACTTAATCCTTACAACCACTCTGCAAGGTAGGTATTATCATTAATATTTTTTCTTCTTTAAAACTCTTTGTGGGACTTCCTTGGTGGCGCAGTGGTTGAGAATCCACCTGCCAATGCAGGGGACACGGGTTCGAGCCCTGGTCCGGGAAGATCCCACATGCTGCGGAGCAACTAAGCCCGTGCACCGCAACTACTGAGCCTGCGCTCTAGATCCTGCGAGCCACAACTACTGAAGCCCGTGCGCCTAGAACCCGTGCTCCACAGCAAGAGAAGCCGCCGCCATGAGAAGCCCACGCACACCGCAAATAAATAAACAAATTTATATGAAAAAAAAAAGCTCTTTGTGTTATGTACTGAAGTTTGCTACCACCCCCCATTCATATGTAATGTTTACATCTGGTTTTGGTATTAGAAAAACGCTGGCCTCATAGAATGAGTTGGGAATTGTTCCCTCTGCTTCTATCCTCTGAAAGAAATTACAGAGAATTGGCACAATTTCTTTTTTTTTAAAAATTAATTAATTTATTTTTGGCTGCATTGGGTCTTCATTGCTGCATGTGGGCTTTCTCTAGTTGTGGCGAGCGGGGGCTCCTGTTCCTTGCGGTGCGCCCTGGCACAGTTTCTGTCTTGAATGTGTGGTAGAATTCACCAGTGAACCCATCTGGGTTTGGTGCTGTCTGGTTTGGAAGGTTATCAATTATTATTTTAATTTCTTTAAAAGAGACAGCCATAACAAGGTTGCCAGTTTCTTCTTGTGTGAGTTTTGGAAGATTGAGTCAAGGAATCAGTCCATTTCATTTCATCTAGGTTGTCACATTGTTTGGCATAGGGTTGTTTTAGTAGTCTTTTGTTATCCTTTTAATGTCCATGGTATCTGTAGTTCTGTTCTTGTCATTTCTGATATTAGTAATTTTTGTCCTCTTTGTCTTTTTCTTAGTTAGCTTGGATAGAGGCTTATCAATTGTATTGATATTTTCAAAGTGCCAACTTTTGGTTTCATTACTTCCCTCTCTTGTTTTTCTGCTTTTAATTTCATTAATTTCTGCTCTAACTTTTATTATTTCTTTCCTCCTGCTTACTTTGGATTTAATTTTCTCTTCTTTGTTTCCCTAAGGTATAGCCTTAGATGACTGATTGTAGATCTTTCTTGTATTCTAACGTATGCTTTCACGGTACTCCACAAACTCTGATGAGTTGTGTTTTCATTTTCATTTAGTGCAAAATATATTTAAACTTCTCTTGAGATTTCTTCTTTGACCCATATGTTATTTAGGAGTAGGTTGTTTAATATCCACATATTTTGAAATTTTCCAGCTATCTTTCTGTTACTGATTTCTAGTTTATTCCATGGTGGGCTGAGGGTAGAAACTGTAAGATTTCTTTTATTTTAAATTTGTTAAGGTGTTTTACAGACCAGCAGGTGATCTATCTTGGTGAATGTCCCAAGCAAGTTTGAGAATAATGTGTCTTCTACTGTTGTTGATGAAGTAATCTATAGATGTCCGTTATAGTGATTGATAGCGTTGTTTTCAGCTATGTCCTTACTAATTTTCTGCCAGCTAGATTCACCCATTTCTGACAGAGGAGTGTTGACATCTCCAGCTGTAATAATGAATTCATCTGTTTCTCCTGGCAGTTCTACAACATTTACCTCATGCATTTTGATGCTCTGTTGTTTGGTGCATACACATTAAAGTTTGTTATATCTTCTTAGAGAATTGACCCCTTTATCATTATGTAATGCCTCTCTTTCTCTCTCCATGTATATATTTATATATGTTTATATTTATGATTTTAAATAAGGACTGGTAGCAAAATATATATGTGTATATATATTTTTTCTTCCAGTCTATGATTTGTGTGGTCGGTAGGCAACTTCCAAGATGGCCCCCAGAAGATCTCTGCCTCCTGGTTTCATGCTTTTGTTTAGTTCCCTTCCCTTGAGAACTTTGTTACTTCCTTCTAATGAGTAGAACATGGCAGAAGTGATGATGTGATTCTTCCAAGAATAGGTTAGTTATGTAAAGGCTGTGGTTTCTCATTTGTTCTCTTTCTTTATCTCTCTCTCCTCTGTCTCCCTCATCATTTTCTCTGAGGTAAGACAGCTTTCCTATTGTCAGGACACTCAGGCACCATATAGAGAGATCCACTTGGCAAGGAAGTGAGTTATCCAGTGAGGACCTGACACCTGTTCCCAGTCACATGAGTGAGATGGGAAGTGGGTCTTTCAGCCGATTGCAGCTGCAGCCAACACTTTGACTGAGTTCAAAGTGTTGCGGCTGAGCTGCTCCCAGATGGGAGACCCTCGGTAACTCTGTGAGATAATATATGTGTTTGTTTTAAGCTACTAAAGTTTGGGGTAATTTGTTGTGCATTAATAGATATCTAGAACAGATTTTGGCTCCTGGAAGTGGGTGCTTCCATAACAAAATGCTAAAATGTAGGAGTGGTTTTAGAACCAGGCATTGAGCTTTGATGAGGTATTTGTGAAAGTCTAGGGTGCCTTGAGGAAGCTATTTATGGAAGCCCCATGGTCTTTGATAAGGGCTTACAGGAACGTGAGGGGCGTTTTCTTGGAAACTGTATAGAAGGGGACACCAGTTTTGTGGTGGCAGAAAGTTTGTTAATGCTATTGCCTGCGTTAATGGGGAAAGTAGGAATTACGGCTAATGAATTGAGATGTCTTGCTAAGGAGATTTCCAAGCAAAGTGTTGGAGGTGCCACCTGTTTTCTTTTTGATCCTTGTGGTAAAATGCAAGAGGATATAGATAAACTAAATTAAATGCTATTAAACAAAAAGGAGCCAGGAATCTGTGGTTTTGAAAATTCTCATTTTCTCCAGATGACAAATGGTGCTTTAATTAAGAGATGAGCTCTGGGCTTCCCTGGTGGCGCAGTGGTTGAGAGTCCGCCTGCCGATGCAGGGGACACGGGTTCGGGCCCTGGTCCGGGATGATCCCACATGCCGTGGAGCGGCTGGGCCCGTGAGCCATGGCCGCTGAGCCTGCGTGTCCGGAGCCTGTGCTCCGCAACGGGAGAGGCCACAGCAGTGAGACGCCCGCGTACCGCAAAAAAAAAAAAAAAAAAAAAAAAAGAGATGAGCTCTAAGAAAAGCTCAAATCCAGGGCACTGCTAGGAAAACGGGGAAAGAAATGAAGCCAAGGGTGTGACCATGAAATCCTTCGTTAAGATCTTAGAAGGATCTAAAGTGGTGCCTCAGCCATAAAAACTCTTTCAGAGAGAACAAGGCTGCACCCCAAGCCACTCACGCGATGGTGCCTCCGCGTGGCACAAGGACATCGTCTGCCAGCAGGATGCCGAAGGATAGAAGGAGTTGCCTCGAGGACCCCCAAGATTTGCAGGACACCTTCCAGGTTCTTAAAAGAGTTAAGTATGCGGAAGCAGCACCCGCTAGCCGTGAGGAGGACGGTGATAAATCAGAACGCGGAGAGGCCTTCCGGTCCCCAGAACTGTGGGTATTGGCAGAAGTCAGGGTGAGAGAGCTACTTAGCTAAAAACATTTTACACCTTTCGTGTAAAAGGAAAGATGGGCCAAATAGCAGAACTGAGAGCCCAGAGGGCAGAGCGAAGGGCCGGAGAGAATGATTCCCAGGCAGTCCAGGCACAATTAAGGAACTTGCAGAATTTCCCAGCTGGATTTGAAACCTGCTGTGGTTCAGTGACACCTTCGTGCTTCCCGTTTCCTTCCTTTGTGTGCAGGAATGTCTGTAGACATTATCTTATTCTTGACCCACCATTGTGTCTTGATGTGCGGGGATGCAAATAACTTCTCTCTTTAGTTCTACAAGTCTACAGATGGAGGAAAACTGTACTCAGTGAGCCACAGTTAAGCAACTACACCTGAGGAGCCTCACCCACACTTGGGCCTAATATAAACGATAAGATCCTAGACTTTGAGCTGATGCAGTAATGGGATGAGATTTGGGGAACCCTGGGATGGAATGAGGAGTGTATTATTCATGCGGGATAGAAATGAGTCAGATGAATAGAATACACAGAAATATGGGATATATTTCTGAGATTAGATTATGAAACAACTCTGGCTTCCACCTTGGGGTTTTTTTCTCCCCATCTCTCTCTCACTCTCTCTCTCTCTCTCTCTCTCTCTCTCTGTTTCTGTCTCTTATTGCTTATTCTGGAGGAAGTCAACTGCAGTGTCATTAGTACTGTCGAAAAGATGCTTTTCTTTTAATGAGCTTGGAAGTAGAACTTTTGAGTCTTGTCCGTGGACACGGGTGATCTTGGGAGTGGATACTCCCCCAGTTGAGCCTTTAGATGACCACAGCCCAGAATGACATTTGATTTCTGCCTCAAGAGAGACCTTGAGCCAGAACAACCCTGCTAAGCTGCTTCCACATTCCTGACCCACAGAAACTGTAAGATGATAAATGTTTTGTTGTTTTGTTTTGTTTGTTTTTGGTTTTTTGAGCCTCTAATTTTGGGGTAATTTATTAATCGGTAATAGATAACAGAGCTATTCTAGTTTCTTTGCATTTCCATGTAAATTCTAGAATTAGCTCATAAATATGTACCCAAAAAAAGAAAATCTGTGAGGATTTTGATTGGGTTTGCATTGACTGAATCTATATATCATATTTGGGTGAATTGATATCTTAACAGTATAGAATATTCCAATTCGTGACCAAAAATTATCTCTCCATTTATTTAGGCTTTCTTTAATTTTAAAATTAGTGTTTATAATTTTGTGCGAATATATCTTGTGCTTATTTTGTTAGATTCACACTGAAGCATTTCATTTCTCTGGCGCTATTGTAAATGGTACTTTTAAAATTTCAATTCCAATTGTTTATTGCTAGTATATAAATATTTTGTATGCCTACTTTGTATCCTGAAATTTTGCTAAGCTTATTTATTTATTTTGCGGTACGCGGGCCTCTCACGGTTGTGGCCTCTCCCGTTGCGGAGCACAGGCTCTGGACGCGCAGGCTCAGCGGCCATGGCTGATGGGCCCAGCCGCTCCGCGGCACGTGGGATCTTCCCGGACTGGGGCACGAACCCGTGTCCCCTGCATCGGCAGGCGGACTCTCAACCACTGCGCCACCAGGGAAGCCCAAGCTTGTTTATTGTTCTAAGAGATATTTTATAGATTCTTTGAAATTTTCTGTATAAACAATCATGAAGTCTTCTTAACTGGCATTATCTACTAAAGTTAAACATGTGACCCAGCAATTTTAGTTTACTTGGTATATTTGCAATATAAATCAGTACTTACAACCATCAAAAGATATGCAAAAGATTGCTCATAGCAGCTTGAGTTATAATAGCTCCCAAGGTGAAACAACTCAAATGGCTATGAACAGTAGAGAGCATAAATAAGTTCTGTATATCTATGTGATAGGATACTAGGCAGCAGTGGGAAAGAATGGAGCCCTGCTACGTGCAACAGCGTGGATGACTTTCACGGGCACTGCAGTGAGACCAATAAGCCAGACAAAAGAGCGTACATTATGTGATTCCATTTTTATAATGTTCAAAAGCAGACAAAAGCAGTTTATGTTATTAGAGATCAGAAGAGTCGTCACCCTCGGAGCAAGGTATTCATTGGAAAGGAACACAAAAAAGCGGGCCTTCTTTGGTTCTGAAAGTGTTTTCAGTCTTGACATGGATGGTAGTTTCACAGGGATTTTCATGAGAATCACTGAGCTGCACACTTAGTATTTGTGCATTACGGATGGGGATGGAGGAGATTGGACGACCTCATACGGAGATAGTGATCTTGGAGGTCACCGAGGGAGGGCAAATGATTACAGAGAGATGAGGGACGAGAACAGCCCCCCAGAGGGCACTAGCCTGAGTGAGAGAGTCCCACCAAAGTGTCTGGGTAGGATGGCCAGGGTCGTTTGGAAAGAACAAGTATCGCCAAAATAACATCAGACACTGAAGGGCAAGCTGGGCCTGACATGTACGACGCTGATACCCGTGATTAACAGAAGCTGGCTGATGTTTCCAGCAAAGACGGAGGGGCCAGACCAGACTGAAATTCTTGGGAGAAGCCACTCTTGACATCCCACTGGCAACTGAAAATAAACTGTAGTCCTTCCTATCCCTGGAACTTAGGAGAAACACCATGCATGGTTGGGTTGTCTGGAGGACGCAAACGCCACATTTGCGCATACGGCTAGCTCCAGTCCACACCCTAAAGAAGGCCATGTTCGAATGGGGGACTAAACAACAGCAGGTTATATCTGAGTCGCAAAAAGCAGCCGCTCTACCGTGCCCTTGGCCCTGATGATCCCCACTCAGTTATGACTCTGGAAGAATCTGTGAGTCACACTTTGCAGACCGGAGCTCATGGCTAAAGCCCGTGAGTGCCGCCCAGTGGCAAACACTGGGATTTTGGACCAGGACGGCTCCAGACCCAGCGGTGATGGTACACACCGTCTGAGAGCCAGTCACCAGTTGCTGTTGGGCATTGAGTGCGAGTGTCCCTGAGACTGAGGACGTAAAATGGTCCTGAAGCCGGGGATACCCATAATGTCTCGGGCGATGTCAGAGAAACACTGCGATACGGAGGGAGTTCCATGATGACCCGGAAATGGACACTCAGGAACACGCTGCCTGGGGGTGGGAGGACCGGTTCCTTGTATTCACGCGCTGGGAGCCTCTTCGCCTATGGCTGGCTTTAGGGCCATATGCAGAGTGGCCAGGTACCGCTGCCGCGCGGACAACTTCCTATGACCATCGCTTGATTGACCAACCGTAAGAGTCTTGGTTCAGGGAGGGAAGCATCCTGTCCCAGCACTCCAGGAGGCTGTAAATGGGTCCTGATGGGAAGAGACACTCCGGACAAGGCTTTGCACACCTGACGGTAGGTGGAAATGCTGAAACACTGTAAAAAGACTGGAAATAAGATACTGTACCGATTTGGACCGCGGAGCTACATTTCTTCAAACCAGGGAACACGCCTTACAGCCCACGGTGTCCAACAGTGGGCAAAGAGACACCGTATCCGGTGGATACATCATGTAGC